TATATTAAATTGCTAGACACAACCAGTTGAACCTTATTATTTATTTGTTTATTTTGTTCAACTCGTTCTTGCATTTCATAAAAAGAGTCTRGAAAAGCCAAACAAACAATTTGCTGTGCTAGTGACGCTTAAACACTTGTTTTATGGCGCCTCCAGATTGTCATATAAATAATACAGGTTTTTGCATACATACATACATACATACATATATTATCTTATCAAATTCGACTTGAACGCACAAAATAAGCTGCAAAAACGGTGAAACAAGGCAAATTGGATTAAAAGCACAATGTATTAAAATAAAATTAGCTTATAATCCAAAAGTACTCAAAAAATTAGACTGTATTAAAAACATATATACGAGGCACTCATAATGTTAAATTTTCTTTTTTTTTTCGTACCTCTATTTTATGTTCTGGGTGCTCGTCAGCCACGCGTCTTAATTCACCGGCTTTAGTCGTTATCTTTATACTACCTCTCTATATTTACAATAGTAGTAAGGAAGTTTAGGCAAGTCTATGGAAATTTTTGCTACTAACAAGAGCTATATTAACATTATGATAAAATATATGGTGTTCTAACTTAAATGAGCTTTATTTTACAGCACAAAATAAATCTTAATCCTCATATTTGTTTGGTATTTATTTTGCTTATGCGTTTCTATTATTATTTGTGTTTATGTTTACTTTTTATATAAGTGTTTCTTTCCATTTCAGTATTCTTATATGTATGATTATAACTGTAAASTGTTTTTATTTAATAATTGTCGTAATGAGTGCTAAACACACTTGACAGCTGCTTTAGCTCAACATTTTTATTATTATCTATATGGTGAATTGCATGGTCCACAAAACAGCTGACAGCGGAACATGAGCTCATGTAGGTAGACTCAGTTGTTTTGTTAGTATTATTGATTAAAAATATTAATCAAGTTCCTTCATCTACATTTTATGTATTTAAAACAATGTTTAATTGTAATTTTGAAAATTCTTCATATTTTAAGCATAAATTCTGGAAAACACATTTATATGAAACTGTAATAATGATTTAACAAATTATATGACCAATATTGTAATTGTTTTAAGTTATTCTTTGCTTTAATACGTAAAATTTGTTGGAGGATACTCGAATATTTATCTCAATGAAACACACTTCATGTGGTGGGCAAAATTCTATTTTCCCAACTGCTTGCCTCTAATATAGGTTTTTGGAAAATTCATTCATTGTCCGGTAATTCTGTATTTTCTGCAAAAGAGTTTCTCTCTTTTAACTATTTTTCAGTAGTCTGAGCGAAAAATTTGTCTCAGCAAACTAGTGCTTTATTGTTTCTCTCTCTCTCTCTCTCTCTCTCTTTCCCTCTCCTCTGCTCTAATTCTCTTAATATATTTGAGTTTAATATGCATAATACGAGTACTTTTCTCGTAGGAAATTATAAACAGTTTTTCTTTATTTAGTTSAAAATGTATTAGTACAATAGTCAGAGTAATGGTTTTACAAAGAATTGATTATCAATAGATGATTAAAAACAATTAAATATCCGTATAGTAAATATTTAAACCGGAATTTTTCAAAAGCAATAATCTCTTGTCTTTTTCCACTCTCTTATTATTATACTTCTTTCAAAGTTATCGTCACTGAAATTTCGCCAAACTGGTTACCGTTGTATATTTTCGTGTAGCTCTATATTCAGTGACTTGTTTTTCGCCATAAATAGCAATGATCTCATTTTTGAGTTATACACCTGAAATTGTGGAATTCTCTTCGACTCTACAAATTTGTAAAGTTATCGCAACCGAATGAATACATACATACATATATACAAAGTATTTCATTTTACATTATTTATAGTTCACAMAATACAAAAATATCGATGATCTCATATTTTTTCAGAGTTGTATTGCGGAATTTTTGCGCGCAAGTATTATGGCTCTCACTTATTTGATATATTCTATAGCTGCTGAAATCTCGAAAATCCGGTTGAAATCTATTATTTAAATTAAAAATATACAATATGCAATAAAATTTTATTATTTTATATTTAAAAAACCAAGCCTAATTAATACAAATTTGTAATTCTAATTGAAATAGTAATTTGCTGAGCTTAATGAACGCAAATATATGTACATACATATGTAAGTATATACTTGCTGGTAGTATGAAATGATAGTGGCAAGCAATATGAAATGTTGCATGTGTGTAATAAATGTATAATAAGCAGTTGACACGTTTTTACAATAAATGAATGCATTGCATTATTGTTCTAGTGAATAATTTGTATTGCATTTAACTTCAACTTTAACCAACTAATATCAATTAACTAGTATTTCTTAAAAAAAAAAAGCTGGTTTCTTGGTTGGTCCCAATAGGGCTATGTGAATTGTGTGCAAATTTAGCACAGCCTACGGTATAGTAACACACGAATTGCGCAAACTCGAAAATACTTTTATTTTTMTTTTTWTTTTTTGCAATCACAGTACCTGTCTATGGCGAACGTTTCGCTTTTGCAGAGCACAAGTACCGCTCAAATTTCGTAGTAGCTCATTAAACGTTGTAGTAGGAAAAAAATTAATGAGCAGTCGCACTAAAATTGACTGGGTGATAGCGAAGATATTSCCGCGCTCCAAGTACTTGTGTGCTCCCCGCAGCTGCGCTTTATAGCTCCGCCACCCATACATGATCCCTCATTGGATGTGAGCGTGTGCTGACAATTTGCTTCTTCAAAGGCTGGCTGGCAAATTGTCTCTCGCGTCAACGCCACTACAAGTAGCACTCAGCGCGCTCGTTCAGCACTCAGTCTAGCCTCGTAACTCGTTTGGAACGGATGCCAGCAACGGAGCAGGCAGTGAAGTAGTATCACTAAATTTAATATTATAGTGATTGTGAATTTTTATTCCATAAAATWTTTGCCAAAGTAATGAAATCGCGTTACGCGTGTGARACTAAATTATACAAATGAAACAGTGTTTGTGTGCGTATGTGCGTGTGTAAAATACATATGTGTGTATATGCATCGGAGCAACGTTTGTGCGTGTATGCGATTTATATGCATTTCTTTATGATGAGAAAATTTTAATCGCTGCAAAGTATACATACAAAATTTAATGACAAACGCAAGAAGTAAAGTGAGTGCAAAAGTTGTGAAGCAAAACGCTTGCATAAAAGCAGCAATAAGCAAAAAATTTATTGTAAAATAAAGTTAAGAGTAAAGAAACCCCAATAGTAAAACATTATACATACAAGTTGAGCAGGAATACTAACTAACACAAACGCAGCCGTGTGCGTGTGCTGAAGCAGAGTCTTTGTTCGAAGAGGCAGTCAGCGCATTTAGAATTGAAATCGTTCGCTAAACATCGCGGAAGAAGCAGAGCATAAGTGCTAAAGTGGAAAAAGGTGAAGTAAAAATACCAAAAATCATAAGTGTGGCTATGTAAATACATATGTATGTATATCACATGTGTTGTGTATGTGCCGAAATTCCATAATTGTCGATATCATTTTTTGTGTAAAAAGCAAGAAACATTGTGAAGTAGAGCGTGTGAAAACACGAGAAAGTCTAAAAAGCGCTGAAAAGTGCGTGCCTAAAATTTAAATACACAAAAATACAAATTTTTAATCGCTTCGCTTGATTTTGTAAAATTCCATAGGCAAGAGTTTTCGTGTATGCCGAAGTGCAACACATAAAATTTCTACAATTTTATGTGCATATCCGCTTTACTAAATACAATTAAAAAAAAAAATTAAGTACACCCCAGTGAAACCACAAGAAGCGTGTGGAAAGATTTATGAAGCAATGTTACTGAAAATAAAAAGAAAAAATTACAATAGTTGGAAGACAATAATTTATAGTCAACGTTGACTACTCTGAAATCGAATGTCTGCCTATAAGGCCGACAGTCTACACTACAAGCGGTCAGTCAGCCAGCCAGTTTAAGTTAGCCAGGCAGGCATTCATTTAAAATATAAACGAACAGCAGACGATGCCAGCGCAAAACGTCGCTAGTGGCTGTCGACAGACGTCGTCACAGTTCAACGTCATCATATGGTCTCGAAACGAGTTTTTAACCTTTTCGAAATGCGGCGTTAAAACGCTGACTTCGACGTCGTCAGCGCTGCTTTGGCTTCTCTCGCTATAGACCGCAATGTGTTTGCATCTTTTTTCTTGATTTTTTTACACGTGTGTGTGTGTCAAGTTACTCTACTGTTAAATAAATACAAAAGCAAAATATTTCACTATTTGTAAAGCAAAAAAAGTCAATTAAAACAAGCACATAGTCGGTGACGCTGCAAGCGCAGACAGCGTTGCRTGACCGAGAGGGCAGTGCACATTGTACGAGTGCAATTTGTATTCGCATACAAGTTTATAAGATTTACACAGTCGGTTTTTATTTGTGGTATGTGTTGTTGCTGAGCCAGCAGCAGGCCAGCTGTTTAATAGCGACTTTTGCATGCTGTGTTTCGTCATACTTTTTTTTAATATTTTTTTTTTTGTTCTTAAATAGAGATGCTAAGCTGTTACTACGGTCATTTTACTATGCTTGATATCTACGTACGTACTYATATTTATTATGCGTTTTGAGTGCGGTAATCTCAAAGTATAAAGGAAGTATAGACATTGCACAGTCAAGTGTACTCGATTGTGGAAAAACATTGCTAACACTATGCTCCACTAGCTGTGCGCTTCGAGTGTTTCAAGTTGTTAGACGATTACAATTGTGTTTAGCTTTTCGTATATTTATTTGCTGTCAACGCCACTCACTCGCTCTAGTCAAACAACTCTTGCTAGTGCTTTTCCCGATTTTGTTGCTGTGCTGAAGTGTCTAACTTACGGCACAAAGTAAAAGTGTTTTTTACTATTTTATTTTAGTGACAATTGCTGATATTGCACTGGCTCGTAAAATCACCAAACGAAGATTTGTGCTCGTTCGTACATTTATACAGTGGAATTTTTAATTATTGCTTTACAAATTTACACACATAAATGTATATTCATATATTTGGGACTAACTCATATGGTGACTTTTTTCTATTTTTTTTTTTTTTTTGTCTTTTTTTTTTTTTTTTTTTTTTTTTTTGTCGATTTCTTTGCTATATTTTCGGTGCTGAAATTTTATTATTCGCGCGCCGCGACGTGTTAAATGCGTCATTATATTTATTTAATTGTTTTTTACGTTTAGTTTATTTTGGCTTACTTATCTACGCTTGAATGTGGAACACAAGTGGATTTAAAGTTTTTTGTTCGACTTTAGACTATTTTCTTAAACGAAGATTAACGAGTGCTAGTATGTTATCTCGTTTTTCGTAGTTTTTTCGACTATTTTGTTTGTTTTTAAATTATTAAAATTATCATATCTGCATTAAACTAACGTAAATACATATGCATATGAGTAGAAAACAAAAACATGCTACTATTATTAATGAAAAATCAACGGAATTGAATCGAAATGAATTTAACAGTTTAACTCAGCTTAGTTGCTGTATTGTGAACACCCTGTAACTATTATGAGTATTGTCAACTAAAATACCACAGCAATGTTGGTGCTAAAGTGTTGTTTTTAAATAATTTCCCAGAGTGAACTTGTCTGCCAAATCTTATAAACTGTTACGTTTTATGAACTTCATAAATTTATATTCTATAAAAAACACCATGAAATTAACAATTAATTCGATTGCGCAAAAAGTGGCACATTTCCTGTTAAACAATACTACAGTGCCCTTTTGCAATACTGCAATATGTACCTACATATGTATGAATGTRATGTTTCTTATTCCCTGGAATTATTTAGTATCTAATTAGTAACTTGTGTATGACTTGGAAGCCTTCTTAGAAAATATTAATACCGGAAAATGTTACTTTTGTTAAGTCATTTTTCAAAGCAAACTAATTGCTTTTGTTCCACATAGTTTTCTATTCGCAGTGAGAAACAATTATTTCAGCATAGGAACAAACTTAGTTTTATCGTCAGTAGATTAAATATTTTTAGAAAATTTCTGTATTGTCAAATAAAACAAAATTTGTCTTATTTTCGTTGCTTTTGGAACCTCGAAAAGTGGTAATACAGAGAGGTAAAGTTCCTAAAAACGAAATAAGAGGGTAAGTTATGAATAAAGAAATCATGAAATTTTAATTTGACACGTTTACGAGTATTATGCAAGCTATTTACTTAATTAGTTTCACTTAGAAACTTCAAATAAGCAATATATATATATATACATTTGTATATAGTATAATCCCAAAAAATTTTATGTGAAAGAGCATACAAGTGTTTAATTTCTGTTAGCCCCTTAAAAGTAGTAATTTTTGAATTAACATTTACATATTTTCACGCTGAATACACTATTACAAAATGTAGTTATTTTAACTCTTATTCGTGCATTGTATTTTTTTCGTTTTCCGAACGCTGTCAAAAACAAAATGAAACTTACATTGTTGCGTCTAATGTCATAAATTATTAACTTGTGGGAAACAAAAAGCAATTTGAGAACTGCAATATGTACCTACATATGTATGAATGTACATATGTATAGCTTCAAAATATGTTTATGCACAACAGACGGCAAGGCGTCAATTTACTCATATGTGACACTTTAGATCTTACAAACAGAAAGTAATAATTAAACATACGCTCATAATTGTGTATAGCGGTACAATTGCTATATGCTAATAAAAAATTTATTTAGCCATAAAATACAAAAGTTTCTTTCTGCATATCTGAAGTRGCTCTTTTTATTATTGCCTTTTATAAGTCTCTCAGCACACATATAAAAGCACAATGAAAATAAATATTTTTTTTTATTTACAATAATGACGTTTGTTGTTGTCAAGCGCAACACTCTTATCGGGCGATTGCATTCTGTCATTATATCGCTTTTCCACTTTCGCATAGCCCATCATTTTAAGCGGAACTTTTTCTTGCAATTAAAAGTGATTAAAATGTGTGTGTGTGCTTTAATTGATTTAAATAAAAGTTTGGAAACAATTTAACGAAGATATGAGCAATTTGCGAGTGGAAAAATACTTAATTATTTAATGGATCAAAAAATAGGGCGAAAAAAATGTTATACATACTAATAATTGGCACTTTTTTGCATAGTTTCCTGCCTTGCAAAACTAAATTACATTTTTTTTCTGAGTATACCAAGCAAATGGAATTGAAAAAATTCAAGTAAACGTGATAAATTTTTAAAAATGTTGAACGGTTCGATAGTGAGAGAATGTTCTTTTACAAAACGGTATAAAGAAATGAGAAGTTTCGAAATAAAAAAGAAATCTTGACGAAAGCTATGGGAAAATGTGTGAGAGAAAGGATTATACGAAATGAAGTTCAATTGGGGCGTTCTATAGCTAAGAGAATAGGGCTATCGAAATCATAAATGCAGCAGATATTGATAAATTATGGAGAAGATATTTTGTTTTCGGACCAAAAAATGTTTTTATTGCAAGATAGGAAAATATATGCAGTCTGGCCCCAGAGACAAACTGGCTGTCGAACGATACCAAAAAATTCGTCTGCAGGGCAATATCACTGAATGAAAAGTTGCCGCTCCTTTACAGCGATGAAGGAKTCGAAATTGACACAAAATATTATTCAGAAAATGTTTTTTAAGTTCATCACATGCCCAAAAGTTTTATGTCACCAAATATTTTTGCTTTCAGCAATATTCTCCGTCACACCAAGCAAAATATGTAATCAAACTTTACTTGATTTTAGAAAAAGTTCGTACTTAATAAAATGAAAAAACTTATATATGAATTCATATGTCAGATATCCGGTTGACTCCAGTGCAATTCAATTAGCATGCTCGAAAGTATTTCACTGATCTGATGCCAGTATTAGCATAAATATTTCAGTTTTMCATAAATACATATCTGGTTTGGCTTCAATTTGGCCACACTTGACCAATGTGGGAGTGTTGTGCATTTTTAAATACATTTACTATTGCTTTTCAATGTGAT